TTCAAGGTCCTGGAGTGGCCTAGCCAGTCTCCAGATCTCAACCCCATAGAAAACCTTTGGAGGGAGTTGAAAGCCCGTGTTGCCCAGCGACAGCCCCAAACCATCACTGCTCTAGAGGAGATCTGCATGGAGGAATGGGCCAACAGGAAACATCTGACCTCTGTCATTGCCAACAAAGGATATATAACAAAGTATTGAGATGAACTTTTGATATTGACCAAATACTTATTTTCTACCATAATTTGCAAATAAATTCTTTCCAAATAAGCCAATGTGATTGTCTGGATTTTTTTTTCTCATTTTGTCTCTCATAGTTGAGGTCTACCTATGATGCCAATTACAGGCTTCTCTCATCTTTTTAAGTAGGAGAACTTGTACAATTGGTGGCTGACTAAATACTTTTTACCCCATTGTATATAGAAGGTGAGCGGTAGCCCAAAGGAGCAGATCTACACAATGGTATGATCTTACACTTGGATGAAGTATGTGGATGGACACTAATATTTATGAAGATCTAGTGGACTGTATTGGGGATACTGTGTGGACAGTTCAGCCTAAAGCTGGCCATAGATGGATCAAAATTCATCCGGTTCTGCAAGGAGCAACCAAATTTCAGTTCATCTATGGCTGTTCGAGAGAAGTTGATCTAACGATTGACTTTTCTCAGACAGGACTGTTGGAAAAACTGTGTTCAATCAGCGCCTGTAGCCAATTGGCTGCAGCGCTGATCAGTGTATTCTGACAGCAAAGGAGAGGCTGTTGAGAGAATTCCTCCATCCACCTACCTCACTTGCGTGGATGGAGAAATGTGTTCATTTTTTTTTTCAATTAGCACCCTGGATGATCAAAATAAAACGATCCATGTATGGCCAAGCTTTACACTACTTCGTACTTACCCTTTTTCAATCCGTTCTGCTCCAGTCATGTGATCCAGAGCTCCATCACCTCTGTGTCAGTGAGTGGCTGCTACAGGGAAGAGAAGACAGCACCACCAACAGCTGGAACAGGAGAGCCTATTGGTGACATCGCGCCAATCCCAGCTGTTTCTAGTGCGCTCTCCTTTTCCTTGCAGCCATAGCTGGCTGACACAGGGGATCACGTAACCAGACTAAAAATAGGTAACTACAAACATCTTTTTTACAAAGGTTAGGCAGGATAGGTAGGAGGAGGGGAGAGGGGCAATATTTAAATATAATTAGTGTTAGGCAGAAATTCCATTTTAATACTGACATTTTTATAACCGACAACGATGGACTCAGTTTTAGAAGGTTTTTATTTTCATTTTGGTTTTGTGGATCCTTTTACTACATGCAATTTTTTTTCACTATTTTGAGATGGTAAATTGCTTTGTATATATTTACGTTTTAGCTCTGCACTAGATAAGAAAAAAAAAAAGTTATATTTTTTTCTTGTATTTTGTTTTGACTTCCGGCTACTCACAAAATTTAGAGATAACATGGAGAACGAAAGAGTTACCGTATTTTTCGCTCCATAAGACGCACTTTTTTCCCCCCAAAAAAGGGGGGAAAATGTCAGTGCGTCTTATGGAGCGAATATAAAGCGGCCGGTCCGGTATTTCTGCCGCCACCATGTCAGAATACCGGGCCGGCCGCTCAGCTGTTCTCTCCTGCAGGGCCTTACCTGTTCCTCGCTCCAGCGCTGCACAGTCTTCCCGCGCTGGCTTCTGTGACAGCCGGGTGCCCACTGCGTATGCGCGAGAAGCGCTGCGCTTTGTGAATGATCCGGTGTCTTCTGGGACACATGACAGGTCCCAGAAGGCGCCGGGCCATTCACAAAGCGCAGCGCTTCTTGCGCATGCGCAGTGGGCACCCGGCTGTCACAGAAGCCGGCCCGGGAAGAAGAGGGAAGGACAACTCCGCAAAAGTGGGAGTGGGTACCTGTCAAATTCAGGTACCCGCTCCCCCTCCCTCCTCAAAGGTCAGCAGTCTCTGGTCATTCCCTGCACTGTCTGCAGTCTCTGGTCATTCCCTGCACTGTCTGCAGTCTCTGGTCATTCCCTGCACTGTCTGCAGTCTCTGGTCATTCCCTGCACTGTGTCCGCAGTCTCTGGTCATCCCCTGCACTGTGTCCGCAGTCTCTGGTCATCCCCTGCACTGTGTCCGCAGTCTCTGGTCATCTCCTGCACTGTGTCCGCAGTCTCTGGTCATCTCCTGCACTGTGTCCGCAGTCTCTGGTCATCTCCTGCACTGTGTCCGCAGTCTCTGGTCATCTCCTGCACTGTGTCCGCAGTCTCTGGTCATCTCCTGCACTGTGTCCGCAGTCTCTGGTCATCTCCTGCACTGTGTCCGCAGTCTCTGGTCATCTCCTGCACTGTGTCCGCAGTCTCTGGTCATCTCCTGCACTGTGTCCGCAGTCTCTGGTCATCTCCTGCACTGTGTCCGCAGTCTCTGGTCATCTCCTGCACTGTGTCCGCAGTCTCTGGTCATCTCCTGCACTGTGTCCGCAGTCTCTGGTCATCTCCTGCACTGTGTCCGCAGTCTCTGGTCATCTCCTGCACTGTGTCCGCAGTCTCTGGTCATCTCCTGCACTGTGTCCGCAGTCTCTGGTCATCTCCTGCACTGTGTCCGCAGTCTCTGGTCATCTCCTGCACTGTGTCCGCAGTCTCTGGTCATCTCCTGCACTATGTCCGCAGTCTCTGGTCATCTCCTGTACTTTGTCCGCAGTCTCTGGTCATCTCCTGCACTGTGTCCGCAGTCTCTAGTCATCCCCTGCACTGTCAGCAGTCTCTGGTCATTCCCCGCACTGTCTGCAGTCTCTGGTCATTCCCCGCACTGTCTGCAGTCTCTGGTCATTCCCCGCACTGTCTGCAGTCTCTGGTCATTCCCTGCACTGTCTGCAGTCTCTGGTCATTCCCCGCACTGTCTGCAGTCTCTGGTCATTCCCCGCACTGGCTGCAGTCTCTGGTCATTCCCTGCACTGTCTGCAATCTCTGGTCATTCCCTGCACTGTCTGCAGTCTCTGGTCATTCCCTGCACTGTCTGCAGTCTCTGGTCATCTCCTGTACTGTGTCCGCAGTCTCTGGTCATCTCCTGTATTGTGTCCGCAGTCTCTGGTCATCTCCTGTACTGTGTCCGCAGTCTCTGGTCATCTCCTGTATTGTGTCCGCAGTCTCTGGTCATCCCCTGTACTGTGTCTGCAGTCCATTGGTTCAGAATATTTTTTTTTCTTGTTTTTCGCCTCAAAAACCTAGGTGCATCTTATGGTCAGGTGCGTCTTATGGAGCGAAAAATACGGTATTTCATTTTTATATAATCCTTTATCCTAAGGATTAACAACCGTCAATTACTACACCCATGATCTGAACTATTTATTTTCTTTAGATTTTACTACTAATGCCGGCCATAGACAGGTCGAAAATCGGCCGATTTTCGCACCGTTAGTGGGTTAATTAGTCGGCCGTTTTTTGGGGTTTTTGCACATTTTTTTTATCGGTCATGTTGAAAAATCTATAGCAGATTTTGACGATCGGCCGATTTTCCCGGCAATGATGGGCAAATCGGCCGATCGTTTTTACCGATAAAAAAATCTGGAAAAAGAAATTTTATTCTGCTAAAGTGAATTGATCATAGGAATGGGAGACACCTGAATCCTTCCTACGAACTGGAAGTCCAGTCCGCTAATATATTTTCTATGAAAAAGTCTTGTGGTTGCAACAAATGTATCCATTTGTATCCAAATAAAAACATTGTAATCCAAATAATGTATTTGTATTGCTGTCACATTGTATGGTGTGCTCCCGTTTCTGTCTAATGCCGGCCATAGACGGGTCGAAAATCGGCTGATTTTTTTTCACATTGGTGGTAACATCGGCCGATTGAACAACCGATTTTTCGTTTTTTTTTTTTTATAACTCAGCCGATGTTTGACCTGTCTATGGCCTGCTTAAGCCCCTGAAGAAGCGATTGATGTCGCGAAACATGTTGGGCCATTCTTCCAGCAGATTAATGTCTCTCACCCCCCATAGGACCTTCCTGGTGAGTATAGTATGCTTCATCACTAGTTTTATTCCATACAACATGGTGGGCTGTGGGACATTGTCTGCGGGGACATTGTACAATGACTTTTTAAACTGAAAGATGTTTTTCATGACTTATTGTCAAAATAAAGTACAAGTGATTTTACTAATATGTGTTTATGGTGTCTGTGCCTCTAATGTCCAGTTGCACTTCCTCCCCTCGTTTTTTCCCCTTTTTGTCTGGTTTAATTAGGATGTGGCACTAGCGTATTATTTATTTGGACGTGGCACTAGTGTATTACTTATTTGGGCGTGGCACTAGTGTATTTATTTGGACGTGGCACTAGTGTATTACTTATTTGGGCGTGGCACTAGTGTATTTATTTGGACGTGGCACTAGTGTATTACTTATTTGGGCGTGGCACTAGTGTATTACTTATTTGGGCGTGGCACTAGTGTATTTATTTGGACGTGGCACTAGTGTATTACTTATTTGGGCGTGGCACTAGTGTATTACTTATTTGGGCGTGGCACTAGTGTATTATTTATTTGGACGTGGCACTAGTGTATTATTTATTTAGGCGTGGCACTAGTGTATTACTTATTTGGGCGTGGCACTAGTGTATTATTTATTTGGGCGTGGCACTAGTGTATTATTTATTTGGACGTGGCACTAGTGTATTATTTATTTGGACGTGGCACTAGTGTATTATTTATTTGGACGTGGCACTAGTGTATTATTTATTTGGACGTGGCACTAGTGTATTATTTATTTGGACGTGGCACTAGTGTATTATTTATTTGGACGTGGCACCAGTGTATTATTTATTTGGACGTGGCACTAGTGTATTATTTATTTGGACGTGGCACTAGTGTATTATTTATTTGGGAGTGACCCGACACCCGAGTACACTCCAATCTCCCCTCCTTTTTCCATGATCTGAACTATGCTATCTTACATTTCCAATGCAGAATTAAAAATGTACGAGTGACTGTTTAGGAAATGCACTCAGGATTCACCCACCTTGTTTGGATCCAATTTGGTCTTGTCCACGGGGTTTGAATCCTTCACGACCTGAACCGTCCCTTCACCAAACCGCTCAGTGTAAAACTCCTGTTAATGAAGGCAGACCCAAAGTCAAGTATAACAACGTTTGCAGTCTTCCTAAGATAAATTAAGACTAATAAAATGGCTGTCGCAAACACTGCCTAGATACCCCAGTGCTGGCTATGTCCTTAAAAGGAGAAGTTCACATTTTGACCAAAAATAATAAACGTACCGTTTATTGCAGGTAAAAAAAAAAAAAAAAGTGCATTTACTATTTTTGGTTGCACGAGCCTATAAAGCATTGCACCTGTGATCAGCAGATGGCTGGTGCCATGCAGGTCTTCTGCAGACCTGCTAGTATATCTATTTGCCTGTATGGGATGTACAGGCAGGCAGATATACTGAGAGGAAGATTCAATGAACTACCAGAGTGCTCCACAGCCCTGTGACAGTTCATTGAGAACAACAAGCTGACAGGCACTAAGGCTGTCGGGACTTGTAGTTCATTCATTCACAGAACACTGTGAATGAATGACGCGGCCGTGTGGGCGGAGCCCCACACAACTGCGCTGTTATTAAAAAGTGACAGCTAGTACAGGGAACTTCTCCCAGTACTTCTGTCACAGGAAAGGGGGGGGGGGGTAAATCGTGTACAAGTCTCAGCATTGATAGCAGCGGCTGCAACATTGGGAACATGTTAACATGGTAACATGTTCCCAAAGGTGATATTATCCTTTCAAACAAAAGTTGGCCATTGAATTGAAGTATAGAATTTAGAAAATTCTTAGGAAAAGTCTTAAGCTGGCTGTACATCAGTTTTTTTTTTTTTTTCGTTCACCCAGCGGGTTGACCCAATTCCCCCATCCGCACACTCAAGGTGGATGGGGGAATCACTCTGATCCTCCTCTTCTTCCAGTGTCCCCCTCTTATCTCCTGATAAGACATATCTGTGGAGTCATTCTGCACATGCTCAGTTTGATGTGTATTGCTAGAGGTTTTTTTTTTTTTTCTTGGAAGATGAGCATGTGAGCAACACAGGGCCAATCAGCACTGTCCAGTCAGAGGTCAGGGGTTCTGCATCCTCCTACAGCAGGATGAAAACTCCTCCTAAAATCTTTAACCAGTGCTCGGATGGACACTGATAGAAGTCACAAGACTGTTCTAATGGCTGATGAGAAAAGGTATTTAGCAGTTTATATTTATTAAAATAATTGCATTTGCATGTTCTGTGTACTGTGGGAGAACAGATATAGTGAATGCAGGGTTATGGGAGACCAGGTATAGTGAATGCAGGGTACGGGTAGACCAGATATAGGGAATGCAGGGTCCGGGGAGACCAGATATAGGAAATGCAGGGTCCGGGGGAGACCAGATATAGAGAATGCAGGGTCCGGGGAGACCAGATATAGAGAATGCAGGGTCCGGGGAGACCAGATATAGTGAATGCAGGGTCCGGGGAGACCAGATATAGTGAATGCAGGGTCCGGGGAGACCAGATATAGTGAATGCAGGGTCCGGGGAGACCAGATATAGTGAATGCAGGGTCCGTGGAGACCACATATAGTGAATGCAGGGTACGGGGAGACCAGATATAGTGAATGCAGGGTCCGGGGAGACCAGATATAGTGAATGCAGGGTCCGGAGAGACCAGATATAGTGAATGCAGGGTCCGGAGAGACCAGATATAGTGAATGCAGGGTCTGGGGAGACCAGATATAGTGAATGCAGGGTCAGGGGAGACCAGATATAGTGAATGCAGGGTCTGGGGAGACCAGATATAGTGAATGCAGGGTCAGGGGAGACCAGATATAGTGAATGCAGGGTCCGGGGAGATCAGATATAGTGAATGCAGGGTCTAGGGAGACCAGATATAGAGAATTCAGGGTCCGGGGAGACCAGATATAGAGAATGCAGGGTCCTGGGAGACCAGATATAGTGAATGCAGGGTCTGGGGAGACTGGATATAGTGAATGCAGGGTCCGGGGAGACCAGATATCGTGAATGCAGGGTCCGGGGAGACCAGATATAGTGAATGCAGGGTCCGGGGAGACCAGATATAGTGAATGCAGGGTCCGGGGGTTTAGTAACACATTAAGACCTTTTTCCCCCAAGAATTTTCATTCAAATTCTAACCCATCTATGGCCAGTTTTTTTGGTCATGTGATCTCTTCTGAAGAGGAGGATCAGTGTTCAAAGCAGCTGATCCTCCCCATCAGTAGAGATGATGTGACTAAGTTACCTTCAGACATGAGGTCAGCACTGGTGGTAGCCTGGACAAGCATTTACTCGAGAGAAAGTATGAAGTTTAAATTTGACTTGATTTAACTTTATTCAAACTCTGAGCAAAGCTTTGAGCTAACAGGAGCACCCTAAGCCAGCGTGTAAGTCATCCTAATAGTGTGTGATGTATACCATCTGGTGAGTCCACCATGTTTAACAGAACAAGCAGGCGAGGAGATGCCATCCTACCTCTAGGCGGTGGGAGATCTCGGCCAGTTTGGTAATGGATGGCTCTTTGTAAACAAATTCTTGCTCGTCCAAGTCTCCAAATTTAGAACCGTAAAATCCAACACGGAAATACGTCCCAAACATTCTCTGCATTCCTGTATGGAAAAGGTATTAGAAGAGACAAAATGTGGATGGATATATACAATATGCAGATAGGAAATGTTAATAAGGCTGGTCATAAAGTGTGACTCTGACAACAGGTATAATGGAAGGGCTCATCAGTCAGCTCTGTGTCAAGTAATCAGAACTTATTCCCACACCTTCATCTTTCATGCCTTGAGGATAGTGCACAGCCGAATAGAGACACCGTATAAATCCAAATGAAAAGAAAAGGCCAGCACTCCAAAATGACAGATCAATAAAGATCTGTCATTTCTTCTTCTTCAGTAATTAAAATTGATGTTTTTGTGAGTGGTAGAAATAAAATTACTTATTATTACAGGTACTTGTATAGCGCTGTCAATTTACGAAGCGCTTTACATATATATTGTACATTCACATCAGTCCCTAACCCTCAAGGGGCGTACAATCTAAGGTACTTATAATGAACTCCAGCTTATAGTGTATCTATTGCCAATAGTAATAATAATAGTATATCCCAACACCAAACGTATCTTATTTGCTCATTTGTGGTCTGATTTACTATAACTTTACCCAATCAGGGCAAAGACAGATCACCCCCCAGGATTTTTTTTTTTGATCCTAACTTCTCTGCTCCTCCTCTTGTTCAAATGTCCACATCTTATCTCCTGATAAGACAGACTGAACTGTAATCACTCTGCACATACTCAGTTTAGTGTGTATTACTAGAGAGGTTTTTCTTTTTTGGAAGAGTGCTTGTGATCAGCACAGGGCCAATCAGCACTGTCCATGCCAAACGTATCTTATTTGCTCCTTTTTGGTCTGATTTACTATAACTTTACCCGTTCAGGGCAAAGACAGATCACCCCCCCCCCCCCCCCCCAGGATTTTTTTTCTCCACTTAAGCCATGCTTTCCATTGAAGTATGCCATTCTGCCCATGCTTCATTTTAGGGCTCGTTCACACCATGGTGCAGACGCGTCTGTTTTTCTGCACGCATTCTGCAAGGGCACAATGAAATCAATTGTTCTCTATGTGCCCTGTTCACACCACACTGCTAGTATGCTGTGCAGATTGTTTTTTTTCTGCACAGGAATCTGCAACGTGTATAAGAAGTGCGCATGAAGTGAAGTAAACTAATGTCTCTGCAAGTGAAATCTGCATGTCAGTTTCCATTGGTTTATGTGGTGTGACCAGATATCGTGAATGCAGGGTCCAGGGAGACCAGATATAGTGAATGCAGGGTCCGGGGAGACCAGATATAGTGAATGCAGGGTCTGGGGAGACCAGATATAGTGAATGCAGGGTCCAGGGAGACCAGATATAGTGAATGCAGGGTCCAGGGAGACCAGATATAGTGAATGCAGGGTCCGGGGTTTAGTAACACTTTAAGGCTTGTGCACGCATACAAAACAATGTTCCAAAATAAGATGGTATTACTGAAGGTAATTTAGATAAATCTCAGGGAAGAAAACATTTTTTTTTTTAACTCACCATCAGATCATATTCAGAAAATCCCATCAATTCAGAAGAGAAGAGAATGGAAAAAAAAAAAAGACACATTAAACAGAGCTCATTATGTACACAGAGAGCTCATTATGTACACATAGTGGAAACAGCCATTTTATTCCTACAAACAAATACACAGCATATCGATCCACTGTGAGCTGCTGACAACAGGCAGGGCCGAGGCCTCACCAATGTTAACGATTGGTCTAGAAGGCTGTATATACCGACCCTGCCAGCAAGATGGCCGTGTCCACAATGTGCAATACAAAAACAGGCTTTAAAGCAAGTGAGAATGACTTTATGTGGGTGCGGTTAAGGTGTATGGGGCACTGCCACAAGTTTACATTTGTGAAAATAAAAGTGCTCACATGCACAATAGGCAAACATGATAAACACTGTAATAACCATGCCGAAACAAACATATATGGATCCGTTCACATATATGTAAATACAGGGGGTCAGCACTGTGCAAACATCATTCACATGTACACATTCTAATTATGCAATAGGATCATGGAGGTCTTTCATTCTCCTTCCACTGACTCAGCAGACTGAGAATACTGTCTCCCTCTAGCAGTTATATTTTGGAGATTTCATGTATCCCTACTACATTTAGAGCGGACGTCTTCGTGCATGGGGCTTACTTCTATTATTTGACGACAGACAGAATGCTTTCAGTGACTTTTCCTACTGCATAAGTAGATAATGTCCCTGGCGGAGCATGTCAGGGTGAGAGTTAGCTGCTGTTTAGCACATTATTGTGAGCAAGAGAAGCAAGGTGAACACAAGACTGAAAACCAAAGGAATCGGTTAATCAACACACTGCCTACCTCCCAGCCTGTGATCTGCTCGGGAGCAAAAGGGGAAACCACGAGAGAAAAAAATGAGAGAGAGAAGAGGGGAAGGGAGAAACGAGAGAGAGAGAGGAGGGGAAGGGAGAAACGAGAGAGAGAGGAGGGGAAGGGAGAAACGAGAGAGAGAGGAGGGGAAGGGAGAAACAAGAGAGAGAGAGGAGGGGAAGGGAGAAACGAGAGAGAGAGGAGGGGAAGGGAGAAACGAGAGAGAGAGGAGGGGAAGGGAGAAACGAGAGAGAGAGGAGGGGAAGGGAGAAACGAGAGAGAGAGGAGGGGAAGGGAGAAACGAGAGAGAGAGGAGGGGAAGGGAGAAACGAGAGAGAGAGGAGGGGAAGGGAGAAACGAGAGAGAGAGAGGAGGGGAAGGGAGAAACGAGAGAGAGAGAGGGGAGGGGAAGGGAGAAACGAGAGAGAGAGGAGGGGAAGGGAGAAACGAGAGAGAGAGAGGAGGGGAAGGGGAGAAACGAGAGAGAGAGGAGGGGAAGGGAGAAACGAGAGAGAGAGGAGGGGAAGGGAGAAACGAGAGAGAGAGGAGGGGAAGGGAAGAAGAAACGAGAGAGAGGAGGGGGGAAGAAACGAGAAACGAGAGAGAGAGGAGGGGAAGGGAGAAACGAGAGAGAGAGAGGAGGGGAAGGGAGAAACGAGAGAGAGAGGAGGGGAAGGGAGAAACAAGAGAGAGGAGGGGAAGGGAGAAGAAACAAGAGAGAGGAGGCAAAGGGAAGTAAAAGGCGGCAAAAAAGGAAAGGGAGAGAAGGAATGATGAGTAGAAGTATAGGAGACAATTCACAGCAAGAGGGGTATGAGATATCAGGAGAGATGTCATGAAAAAGTAAATGGAAGGGAAAAAAAAAGAAATGTACGTAGAGAAATGACAGAAAATGTAGACATAGACATGAGAAGTGGGGAGAAAAAGGAAGAAAAGGATTGAGCAACGGGGTAAAGTAAGGAGATGAGGTGGTAGCAGGATGGAGAGATGGAGAGAGAAGAGAGCACATGAACAGTACAAGGAAGAGGTCAGGGAGGTCAGGGAAGTCACGGTATGGCATGGATTAAGGGACAGGGAAAACAAAAGAGACCATGGAATAGAGGGGAGACATAGGGAGGCAGAGACAGAGGGAGGCCATGGAATAGAGGACAGGGGAGACAGAGGGAGGCCATGGAATAGAGGACAGGAGAGACAGAGGGGAGGCCATGGAATAGAGGACAGGAGAGACAGAGGGAGGCCCATGGAATAGAGGACAGGAGAGACAGAGGGAGGCCATGGAATAGAGGACAGGGAGGCCATGGAATAGAGGACAGGGGTGACAGAGGGAGGCCATTAAATAGAGGACAGGGGTGACAGAGGGAGGCCATGGAATAGAGGACAGGGGAGACAGAGGGAGGCCATGGAATAGAGGACAGGGGAGACAGAGGGAGGCCACAGAATAGAGGACAGGGGAGACAGAGGGAGGCCATGGAATAGAGGACAGGGGAGACAGAGGGAGGCCATGGAATAGAGGACAGGGGAGACAGAGGGAGGCCATGGAATAGAGGACAGGGGAGTCAGAGGGAGGCCATGGAATAGAGGACAGGGGAGTCAAAGGGAGGCCATGGAATAGAGGACAGGGGAGTCAGAAGGAGGCCATGGAATAGAGGACAGGGGAGTCAGAAGGAGGCCATGGAATAGAGGACAGGGGAGTCAGAGGGAGGCCATGGAATAGAGGACAGGGGAGACAGAAGGAGGCCATGGAATAGAGGACAGGGGAGACAGAGGAAGGCCATGGGACAGAGGACACAGAGGGAGGCCATGGAATAGAGGACAGGGGAGTCAAAGGGAGGCCATGGAATAGAGGACAGGGGTGACAGAGGGAGGCCATGGAATAGAGGACAGGGGTGACAGAGGAAGGCCATTAAATAGAGGACAGGGGTGACAGAGGGAGGCCATGGAATAGAGGAGAGGGGAGAAAGAGGGAGGCCATGGAAGAGAGGAGAGGGGAGACAGAGGAAGGCCATAGAAGAGAGGATAGGGGAGACAGAGGAAGGCCATGGAAATGAGGAGAGGGGAGACAGAGGAAGGCCATGGAAAAGAGGAGAGGGGAGACAGAGGAAGGCCATGGAGGAGAGGACAGGGGGGACAGAGGAAGGCCATGGAAATGAGGAGAGGGGAGACAGAGGAAGGCCATGGAAATGAGGAGAGGGGAGACAGAGCAAGGCCATGGAAATGAGGAGAGGGGGAGACAGAGGAAGGCCATGGAAAAGAGAGGAGGGGAGACAGAGCAAGGCCATGGAAAAGAGAGGAGGGGAGACAGAGCAAGGCCATGGAAAAGAGAGGAGGGGAGACAGAGGAAGGCCATGGAAGAGAGGAGAGGGGAGACAGATAGGAGGCCATGGAATAGAGGACAGGGAAGACATGAAATAGGGAGCAGGGAAGACAGAGGGAAGGCATGGAACAGAGGATGGAGAGGATATGGAATAGAGGACAGGGAAGACACATAAGATGGGTAGGTAAGGAATGTAATGGGAAGGGTAGAAAGAATGTAAGGGTCAGAAAAGAGAAGTGCAGAAAAGCAGGAGGTAATATTGATGGCATGACAGTGTATGATGGGGATTTTAAGGTGTATGCGCATGGAACATACATCAGATTATCATAATGGAGAAAGTAAGAACATACAACACAGAAGGTAGAAGGGGAAGAGGAATAAAAGATGAGAAAAAAGAACACACATTAATACACAGTAACAGTCTCCATTTATTCCCTACACTAATCCTTGGCACATAATCATGGAATGTTGGATTTCTGAAGGACGAGCAAGCTGGAAGAATGGTCACTAAATTCCTCCGTTTATTAGGACTGGTTAAGAAAGATATGCATTTTAAAAATCACTAGTAAAAAAAAATTGTAAATGGGTGGTTTCTAAGTGTTACATTGAATATTTCCTTGCCGCTGTCATATTAATGGCTTGAAAACAACTGCATAATGCAGGAGCCACCCAGCAAAATATAATTTAAATCCTAAAGAGGTACTCCGGTACCAGGATGGGAAGTGAGGGTAAATCTGCTCAATATGAACATAAATAGTAGCAAAACCTTGACAGTTCTCTTTTTACTAATAAAACAAATAAAGGTTATTGCTGTTTTCTGCTAGATTGCCTTTCACTTCTTGTGCCAGAGGGGTTATGTTGGGCCGTTTGAAGTTACTTTTTAGGACGGTCATCTTATTTGTATGGGCACATTGCTATATTACTTCTGTAATCAGATGGACTCTCGTTCAGTATATATGCTCACTAGGTGGAGTTAGAATAGGACAGAGTAGACACACACACACCTGATTGGTGATCTTGTTGAACGCTTCCTGTAACTTTCCATGGACCACCGCCAGCTTCTTGTAATCACGATTTGCTTCATAAATAGGAATGAGAACTTTATAGACTTCATTCACTGCCTCAAACAGCCCACCCTGCAGGAAGATGTACATCTAATTAACGCACTTCATATGTTCACATCACCTTCTGGAACAAAAGACTTTAGGAACAATTCCAGTAATAAGTGAGGGCATTCTGTAAGCTCCAGTAACCACAAACAACTGGACTACTTCAGTAAGCTCACGTCAAATACTCAACAGATATGGCACCGCTAAAAGCCTCCTTCATACCATCCCATCAGCTCTCTCTGCTTGGGGTGCTGGTGCCTCAAGGATCATGTCCTGGTCTATTCATCCACAGCAATACAAAGCCCTGGGCAGCACTCTATGTGTACCAACCACATCTCAAAATGAAAGTAAAATCTTCAGCTAGTCACTGCCCATTGATGCATTTCACCCAGACTGGGCTTTTTCGTAAAGGTTCTCTACAATTCAGCCCAATCAGGGTGAAACGCGTCAGTGGAGTGTGGCCAACAGGCAGGGATTGCAGCTGAATCTTTTATATTCACACACTTCTCTATACAGAATCTGTCGGATGGCAGTCAAAATGTAATTTCTGAAGCCTGTGCTATGTAACTTCTCTCTCTGCTTCCAAAATCACAAACTACATTTCAACATAGGATTGAATGTAACTGGTGACACTTTCTAGTGCCAGCATTTTTTTACAAATGGTGTTTTTTGTGTGAGAGACAGAAAGGGAAGTGTGTTCCAGAATCCCCCGCAGATGTGTTTCAGGATGACAAGATTATAGACTAAAGGGAGATGATTGGAGTGGTGAGTACAGCAATGTCTGGACCAGGGGCGGACTGACAACTCATGGGGCCCCCGGGCAATAGGGGATCATGGGGACCCTGTGTCCTTGCCCAAACTCAAAAAAGCCTATGAAAAAGGTACCAGGGGTTTTCATGGGGTCCCCTACTGAACCTGGGCCCTCGGGCAGTGCCCGAGTTTCCAAATGGTCAATCTGCCCCTGATCTGGACCAAAAACTGTACTACTCAGAAGGTGGACTGTGCATTCTGTATGTAAGTTAGCTACTGGTCAATCCTAGTAGAAACCAATATGGTGCTTATATCCCAATCATCAATACATAAATTGGCATTCACATTTAGAAACTGACTTTCCGACTCTGATTTGTAGAATTAGGCCCCCCTCACGTTCGGGAAGGGGGGAGGGGGGGTGTTGGGGGAGGAGGGGTGGGGGGGGGGGGGGAGGAGGGAGATTAGGGAAGAGAAAGGAAAAGTTTGCCGTCCTGAATGTTGGATACCGATTTGCCATTTATCAGATGGTGCTATTATTGTATTTACTTGATGTTAACTGTGGGCATGACTACATTTGGTTGTTATGGGGGTTGTTTTGCTTTTTGTTCTCCTGATTATTATATCCACTACACCCCCCCCATTCTCTGTATTCCTTGTATCTTACATATTCAATAAAACTTTACTTTGAAAAAAACAAAAAAAAAAAAACAAAACAGGACTTTCAAAACACATTTAACTGTTTTAAATAACATTTTACAAAATTTTTGTCTGAAAAAAGTCAGAGAAAGTTCTTTTTACATAGCATGACAATATGGTATTGACAAATAAGACTGACAAAGGGAATAACTTCAAGTGTACTCAGGAGA